CCTTTTTTATTATTATTAATTTTAATGAAACTTTACAGAGACTTTGGATTTCCATTTATTCACTGTTGCACTTTTCTCTCTGTGCACCCCTCCCTCCCCCCAATTTGTTCTTCTCTTTGAAAAGTAAAAGAAAAATTCTTTCATTGTTATACAATCCCTCCCCCTAAGTCCACCCCACTGTGCAACCTTCATTTTGGACTCTTGTCATGACAACAATACCTAATCACATCTCCCTTTTAAACAGTTTTCTACCTCACCTGTTTCAATGTAGTATTCATTATTTATCCCATCTTTCTCAGTCTCTCTGCAAAACCAGTGTCAGTCCTGTTTTACAACAATGGCACTATGCATTATTTGTCCTTTTGTGATGGCAATATTTCACTCAGCATAATGTCCTCCAGGGTCGCCTATTTTGAATAATATTTCATGAGTTCCTTGTTTATCAATACAGTGTAGTATTCCATTGTGTGAATATACCACAGCTTTTCTATCCATTTGCTTATTGATGGGCACCTAGGTTGTTTCCAACTCCTTGCTATTGTGAATAAAGGCATGATAAACATGGGTGTGCATATATCTGCTTGGATGTCAGTTATGGTCTCTTTGGGGTATATTCCCAGTAGTGGAATTGCTGGGTTGAATGGTATCTCTATTTGCAACTTTTTGAGAAAGCGCCATACCACCTTCCACACTGGGTTGCACCATTTTACACTCCCACCAACAGTGAATTTAAAAAATATTTAAAGATTTAAAATATTAATCTATATCTATATCTATATCTATCTATGTCTCTATCTTTTTATTGCCTTTCCCTTTGCCTGAGTTACGTTCATCCACTCTCTTGTTACTGGTTTAATCTCCCTTTCTCTCCCATCTCTAACAATTTTGTGATAATTTTTCTTTCTGCATATAAACCTTCCTTGAATTTTTATAACACCGGTTGCAAACAATATTTATCTTTTTATGATTACTAATTTCAGTCAGTAAGATGCACAGACTCATATTTTTTATGTTGAACACCATCCCATGATGTATCTGTCCCAGTTTGTTTCTTTGTTCGTCTGATGGTGGGCAGTTAGATTGTTTTCATCTTCTTTTTTGCCGTACTGAATAATGTTGTGGTCAACATGGATGTCCCAGATCTGTTCATGTCATGATTCTTATCATCTCTAAGGGATATGCCAAATAGGGATATTGTTAGATCACGTGTTATTTTCATTTCCAGGTTTTTAAGATACTAATGTATCATTTTACACAGTGTTTGTACTATTTTGTAATCCCACCAGCAGTGTATAACCTCTCTAGTATTTCTTTTCTGTGGCTTTGACCTTTACTATTAGTGCAGAGATGAGATGTTATCTCATTGTTGTTTTGGTTTGCATCTCTCTAGTGGCTAATTGATGTCTTTGAATTGTGGTGTTAGAGAAGAGTATTAAATATCCCCTGGACTGCAAAAAGAATAAACAAGTCTGTCTTGAAAGAAGTGCAACCAGAGTGGTCCTTAGATGCAAGGACAGTGAAACGTTGTCTCATACTTTGAGCATGTAGTCAGGAGGGGACAGTCTCTGGGAAAAGACATCATGCTGGGAAAAGTCAAAGAGATATGGGAAGAAAGACCCTCAGTGAGACCGACTGACACAGTTACTATCAATGGCCTCAAGCTTGCTGGAGATTGTGAGGGTGGCACAGCAAAAGGCAAAGTTCTGATCTGATATTCACAGATAGCTATGAGTTATAGTCAACTCAGTGGCACATAACGACAATGGCTAATTAGTCATCTTGTTTGATGGAGTCTTGAGTTGCACTGCTAACCCAAAAGCTGGGCGTTACAGCTGGTTCAAAGCCACCAGTGGCCCCAAGGAAGAAAGGTGAGCAGTCTCCTCTGGTTGCAATTTGCAGCCTCAGGGATCCAACAGAGGCTGTGAATCAGAACTGACTCAGCAGCGCTGAGTAATGGCTGGTGATTGTGAGCTTTTCTCCATGGGTTTGTGTGTTCCTGAGTGTCTTCTTTGGTGAAGTGTCAGTTCATGATTTCTGCCTTTTTTTTTATTGTGTTGGAGACAATAAGATTGGCAAGGGACAGAGCAGGGTTTAGTACAGTTGTACATAGGGTTGCTATGGTTTAACCCTCTTCAGGATGAATCTGTTTGTTTTCTTGGCAGTCCAGGGTACATTCGATACTCTTCTCCAGCACCTCAGCTCAAAGGTATCAATTCTCCTTCTGCCCTCCCTAGTCATTGTCCAAATCTCTGATGCATAACAAGTAATTGCAAACAAGCTACTTGATGGCACATAACAACAACAACAACAGCAATGACTGCTTATTTTTAAATTGGGTTGTTTTGTGGGTTTTTTTTATTGTTGTTGATTTGTTAAAGTTTCCACCAAATGTCACTGTGAGATTCTTTTCCCCCAATTCTCATTTCCCTCTTCTAGTGGAGTCTTTTGATGTATGTTGCTTAATTTTTAGGAGTGTCTTAGGAAGACACACTAGCTGTCTACTGTGCCTTCCACTGTTTGTAAATTTTTCGACATGCTTGACAGTGTGTTAATGCCATGTGTTATTAGATTTTACTCTAGAGGTAGGAGAGATCAAGGGCAGAGGTGAAATGAAAGGACCACCGAACTCTGACTTCTAGGCCCCCTAACCCCGTGGCACGTCCACAGTGTTGGGAGCAAGTCTGGATCCTTGAAGGATAGTCTGCATGTGTATCACTGTTTCCAGTACAATTCACAATAACGTAGTAATGTCACTATGTGCTTTCAGGGAAAATATTATAAAATTTTACTTCTTTTGTTTCATTATTTATTTATAAGTATTAAACCAACATTAAATAAGAAAACAATAGCCTATATTTTTCTAAGAATATCTATAACCCAGATAAGCATTACGGTTATTACACTAACTGAGAAGAACCTTCTTTCTTTCAGTATCATTATTTTTGTTTAAGGCAAGTAAGTATCTTCTTGCTTATAAATCTCAATTATGTTCATGTCAAACATGTCAAATTAGGATGTACATAAGAAAGTCACAGTTTCACACTCAATCCCACTTTCTAGAAGGAACCATTGTTAATAGATTGTGTATCTTTCCAGATTATTTGTGCCTGATTATTTTGCAAATGTTGACACAGTATTTTCTAATGCTTGTCGTTGAAGGTTTGACTAATATTTAATAGATAAATATTTGTGTGCACAATTTACATTTATTGAATGTTCCTAGGGCTTTTCTAATAAAGGATTCTATACTGAAGCCACTGAGAAAAAGAATTCTAAGTAAGGATTGTGCAGAACAAATTCAATAACAGTTACTATAGTGTTATTGTAAGGTGTCATTGCGCTGACTTATAGCATCCCTATGAACAGATTGTTAAGTGGTAAGGAAATTTATTTATTCATTCTTAAATACTTTTAGTAGTATCTTTGAGTCAGACTGGACTTGGTGTTACCTAACAACAAGAGACTGAAATTTTACCCTATCCAAGGGTGTCTTATTATTTATTCAGTTACTCAAACATGTTCCATTTCCTAATGCTTGCATTTCAATTTTAGGTTTCTTCATATGGTGGCTACCTCACTTACCAAGTCAAGTCATTTGGCTTGCCCAGCGATATGATCCTTCTAGGAAAGAAGCCAGACGTGCAATTGACTGTGGGTATCAGAATGTGGCCCCAGAGTCAGGAAGGGGGGTTGATTTTGCTCTTGTTCACATTTAAAGACTATCAAAACTATAACCATAAGAATTTATTTGTCTGCTTCATTTTAATGAAAGTAATTTATACATTTAGAATTTCACTTACAAAATCAGATCAAAGAATTAATATAAGACGTTTTAAGAATACTTTTAGAATAGCAGTCAATTACCTTTCTGCACTTCTAGAAATACATTATATATTTCTTCTTCACCTATATTTATAAATGTTATGGTGTTGTTGATTGCTGTCGAGTTGAGCATGACTCATAGCGACCCTATAAACAAAATACCTGAAGTCTTTCTATAACTATTGTCATTTCTCAAACTTCACAGGGTTTCCAGAGGCGTGTTGTTTAGGAAGTGAATGCTTATGTATTAATTCTTTGATTATATAAATATATATTAAATATATATTTTAGGTGTATTATGCTTGTATAGTTATATATTTTTTCTGTAAATAAATTTTAAAAAGAATAATAAAACATAAATTTAGAGCATTTTGATAAATATTCTACAAACAGCTTAGGTTCAACTTGTTTGCAGTATTTTGGGTTTTATCTTCACCCTTCCAAAAGTTCTTAACTGTGTCTCATCCTTGCTTCGCGTGGGTAACTGCTCCAGGGGTATATATTTTTCCCATGATTTCTATCTTTCAACCTAATTTAACAAATGTTAAAGCTATTCCAGCCAGCAGGAACACAATACTGGGCTCTGTAAAAGGGAGCCTGTTCTCATGAAGTATATTGTCTGACAGGGTAGACAAGAGAAATAAGCAATCCCTCCAGTCCACTGAGTAGAACATGTTTGCCCATGTTGTTTTGGTCATTTTCAGTCCAGAAGCTTTTCCTTATTTCCTATTTGTAAAAATAAACTTGATTAGATATTATTATTTTGTTTCCATGTCATTAATGTGATAGCTAATTTCCAAACTATGTTTTAAGAGTCAGACTTTCCATGTAATGCAGACCCACAGAAATTTATAACAGTTACAAACATCAAAACAAGGTGCTAAGCAAGGTGCTAAAATACTGAGTCTTCTTTAAACAGGGACATCAGATGTCACTGGTCTATGAGGAGCCGAACAACCCCCGGCCAGACCGGCTGTATTATGGACGCGTGCAGCTGGTGGAGGTAAAGGAATGTCTAGATAAAACAGTATCAAGGGTCCTTCTTTTCTATGATGGACTTATTTCAAACAGTCAGGAATTTTTACTTCTCCTATACTACTAAATTTAAAATGTTGTTGTTGTTGTTGTTATGTGCCATCGAGTTGTTTGTTTGCAATCACTTGTTATGCATCAGAGATTTGGACAACGACTAGGGAGGATAGAAGGAGAATTGATGCCTTTGAGCTGAGGTGCTGGAGAAGAGTATTGAATGTACCCTGGACTGCCAAGAAAACAAACAGATTCATCCTGAAGAGGGTTAAACCAAGCTACTCCTTGGAGGCGAGGATTCTGGGGCTTCGTCTGACATACTTTGGGCATGTTGGAAGGAGGGGCAGGTCCTTGGAGAGGGACATCATGCTTGGGAGGGTGGAGGGACGGCGCAGGAGGTGAAGACCCTCTATGAGATGGATTGATTCAGTGACTGGGGTAATCGGGATGGGTGTGTCAGAGGCAGTGTGATTGGCACAGGATAGAGCAGGGTTTGGGGCTGTTGTACATAGGGTCGCTAAAAAGAAAAGAAAAAAAAAGAAAAAAATTTCAAATATAAATGATAAAAATATACAGAGGGTGTTCTCAGAGTTTTGTTTGTACTCTCCAGCATTTGTTCTCAATTTTGCCTTGTTACTGTGATTAGGTGCTATCAAGTCAGCTTCAGCTCCTAGCAACCCAGTGTACAGCAGATTGAAACCTTGCCCAATCCTGTGCCATCTCAGGCACGTGCTCCTTGTCCATTGTGTGGGCACTGTGCCAGTCCAGCTCTTGGAAGGTCTTCCTCTCCTTCTCTGATCTTTAGTTTCAGTTAATTATTTTTGTCTTCCAAGTCCTATGAGATGGTACACACTGACACGTAGCTCCCTTCATCTTCAAGCCCGTGTCAGGACCCAGGATCTATTGAATGTCTAAGAAGGTGAACAAAAAACCCAAGAAAATACTATGCACCAATAGAAATGTATAATATAGCTCAAAATGGAAAGCCTATCATCACATAGTCTGCTATACACTCATCAGTTCACTGTGCTGTGATGTCTTTTATATAGCTGTGATGCTAGGAGCTATGCCACCAGGATTTCAAATAGCAGCAGGTGGACAAGTATCGGTAGAGCTTCGAGCTTAAGGAATAAGACATAGTGCTTTACTTCTGGAAATAAGCCAGTGAGATGACAAGTAATACTGTCTGGAGAGTCCTGAAAGATGGGGTCCTGAGATTGGAAGGCACAAAAAGTATGCAGTGATTGCAGCAATGGACTTGACTCGATGGCTCTATGCACAGTAACTCCAAACCCTGTCCTATCCTGAGCCAGGATCTCTCTGTCTCCAATGCACTTGCTCCTTTTAACCCAATCACTACATCAGTCCATCTCATTCATGATCTTCTCTCCTGCATTGAACCTCCATCCTTCCAAGTATGATGTCCTTCTCCAAGGACTAATCTCTCCTTGCAACATAGCCAAAATATGTGAGATAGCTCCAAGATCCTTGCCTCCAAGAAGCAGTTTGGTTTCAACCTCTCTAGGACAGACCTGTTAGTTCTCTTGGCAGTCCATGGTACGGTCAATATTCTTCTCCAGCACCACAACTCAAAGGCATCAAATCTTCTTCTGTCATCCTTATTCACTGTCCAGCTCTCTGATGCACAGCACGTGATTGTGAATGAAGATCATGGCCTGGATTAGGTGCACTTTAATATCTAGACTGGCATCTTTGCTCTTCAGCACTCTGCAGAGATCCCTGACAACAGACTTTTCAAATGCAATTTGTTTTTTTATTTCCTGGCTTCTGGTTCCAAGAGTTGATTGTGGATCTAAGCAAGCTAAAATTGTTAGCAATCTCAATCTCTTCTCTGTCTTCTTAAGCAATTGGTGCTGCAATTGGCCCAGTGATGAGAAATTTGCTTTCTTGAGGTTGAGCTTCAATCCATTTTGAAGACTGCAGTCCTAGACCTTCTGCAACAGACACTTCAATCCCTCCACAGTTTAGCGAGCAAGGTTGTGCTAACTGTATAATGCAAGTTATTGATGAGTCTTTCTCCAATTCCGATGCCACATCCTCTTCATAAAGACCAGCCTCCTGAATGATCCGTTCCACTGACAGATTGAAAAAAATTTATGGAGGCAGGATGCATATGATACTGAAAATGGAAACAGATTGATCATTTCATTGTGTTGTAGGTCACAAGTTAGAGCTGGACCAAAAAACACCACATATTAGAATACAATTTCTCATACATCCTTGGTTACACCTTGTCATTAAAATATATATATTTAAGGGAGCTCTGGTGGCCTAGTGGCAAGAAGCTGCACTGCAATCCCAGAGGTGCATAGTTTGAACCCATCAGACGCTCTGCTGGAGAAGGAGGGGCAATCTCCTCCTGTACCAGTCAGATCCTATTTGATGTTACACACACACACAAATAATAAATATCTATGTATATTATTATTATATATCTATATATATTAAAATATATTTGTATTATATACAAAGTTAATAGGTCAAGTACTTCCCCAAAGTGCTTAAGAACATTAATGTCAGTTTAAAGACTAAGGTGCATCTGAGACAAGCCATGGTATTTTTAGTTGTTTCCAATGCAACTGGACAGTCAATAAGGATGAAAGAAGATTTGATGTCTTTGAGCTGTGGTTTTGAAGAGAAGTAATTAATATCCCATGGACTGCTAAAAACCCCCACAGTCCCCCAAGCCCCAAATGTCTTAGAGCATGTGAAACCAGGTTGTTCCCTAGAAGCAAAGGTGGTGAGACTTTGTCTCACATCATTTGGGTGTGTTGTCAGGAGAAGCTAGTCACAAGAAAATAATTTCATACAGGGAAGGTGGAGGACCAGAGAAAGAGAGGAAGGCCCTCAACAAGGTGGACTGATGCAGTGACTGTACCCACAGCTTGAGCTTATCAGAGATGGTGACGATCGAAGAGGATACGACAAGGTCCCGATGTGTTGTTCATAAAATTGCTGTAAGCCATAGTCGACTGGATGGCGCCCAACAATAACAACAATAACAACAACACTTTTATTATTGAAATTATCCAGTATGTCCAGGTGATACCTTTTGAACACTACCTTGGACTCATAGACCTATTTTAACATTCTGTATGTCCTGTCCCACTATTAGAAACTTAACTGTTAAGACTACAGCACACAAATTTCTTGGAGGGTTGTTGTTGTTATTGTTGTGTATCATAGAGTCAGAACCAACCCATAGCTGACCCTCTGGCTTGTTTTTAGAGGCAGTTAATCACATGGGAGGAGATTCTCTATACTTCTCCTGAGAAGCAGCTGGTGGTCTCGAACTGTGTGCCTTCAGGATTGCAGCACAGCTTCTTGCCACTAGGCCACCAGAGCTCCCTTATGCAGTTCAAGAAAAAAAGAAAAGAAAGAAGGAAGGAAAGAAAAAAATAAAGAAAAAGAAACGAGTGAATTTTACAATCTTTGGATCTCCTTATTAGTTTGCCTCTACCACACAAATATTCATTCTGATTTTTCTGACCTACATGACATCAGAACCAACCGAGTTTGAATGATTATGGTGAAAGTTATGATCATTATTATGACAGAACAGCCGACTGCTTGGGAAAAGGGCCAAACCTGAATAGAAACAAAGTCTGATTTATGCACATTAAATTGATTGAGTAGATTAATAGGCTACTTAACAGACAAGTAGCTTTTCAGGGACCCAAGGTAAACACAAACATAAAATCTTTCCAAATTCCTCACAGCGAGAATGATTAATTAAGAGTGGAGCTTTGTTGTCTACGGTAGTTTAACAAAGACCTCAGTATTCGCTCGATCTTGAAAGCTTCTAGTGTGTCACATTTTCTGGTCTACTCACTGGATCTTCTAGCTCCGTGTCCTGGGCTGGAGTTTCTTATCTAAAGAGGGTAGGGTGTTTTCCCTCTGTTTCTCCTCAGCCTTCTGGAAGTTCCTTGTAGATGCTGGTGGAACCTGTCACAACTGGTATCCTCTCTTCCTCGGTGTCTCCATGAGCTGGTGGGAGCCATCAGTACAGCCCTTCAATCTGTTCAGAAGCTGGCACTCCTGGAAGGACATGTCTCAGGATTTCTTGGTTCATATCAGATCTTGTGATCTACTGTTGAAGGTGTGACCCCTTGTAAAACTTGCTGTTGGCGCGCAGCTGTGCCTTTCAGTACCATAAGCAAGGCAGCAGCATAGATCCACCTCGACCCACTTACCTGCCTGGATCGGAGATGTTCCTTCTGTCTCCTGAAAGCCTTGCAGCAGAAAGTTGCCAGTCGTTACCCCACTAGAGATACACTTCCTTCTTGTGTTATTGCATTACCTCCTTTAAAAAAACCTATTTCCCCCACATATTCATCTCACATTTTCTAGTCTTTTTTTCTCAACCTTTCCATTAATTTTTTTCACTCCTCACATTAAAACAAAACAAAACCAAGCTAAAACCTAATCACCTAAACCTTAAAGATCTTTATTCTTACCAGTGTTCCTTCCAGACCACCATTTCTTTTTGCTAAATCTATTTTTCCTGTCTGACTTTCTTTTTATTTGACTCCACTAGATCCCCCTTTATTTAGATGCACAAAATAGTTATGAAGGTCAACTTATATTCTCACATTAGGATGAGTGAATAATGCATGAGAATGATTGTATGAAGGATAGTGAGAAACACAATGTGAACACTTTGTAAGGAAACCAATTAAAAATAATGTAAAAAAAAAGATGAATGGATGATAACAATATAAGAAGAAAAGAAAAAAGAGAGTTACCAATCCACCTCAAAACTGTAATGCTAAGTAAACCAGGAAGGATCAAAAATTGGGTGACTCTATTTCTGGAAAGAGGGATGATGTTAGAAACAGAAATTGGTGGAGGGAGAACATTTTCTTCTCCATAAAATCAAAGAAAACAGTCAAGAATTGTCAGGATTCACTTTTTTTGGCAACTAACAAAAAATTTGCAGTGATTTATCTATCACTTCTATTCAAGAAAAATGGTTGATTCTCCCCAATAAGAGTGAGCGCTCCTCAGTTCCATCCTCCCTCTCATTGCATGCCAGCGAGTCAGAACCAGCTCATAGCTGACCCCTCCAGTGAGTTTTCAGAGGCTGTAAATCGCATGAGAGGAGATTTCCCACCTTTCTCCTACAAAGCTACTGGTAGATTTGAACCACATGTCTTTGGATTGATATTGTAATTCTTTCCACTAAGCCACCCTTGAAATCAGCACCCATGATCACGGTGAAAGTCAGCAGCCTGGCTGGCACTGGAAGGAGCCCATTGGTTTGGACCACTTCAAAGCCTCATTCCCTGTGAACTATCAGTATCTGACAGGACTGGAAGTTCCTGGAAGAACTCACTTGAAAGACTGTCTTTATTTGAAATGACTCAGTGCTCTTCCAATATAAAAAGCCTCTCTGCGAGCATGTTGGTTGACAAAATTTGGAGGCAATGATTTATTTTCATGAATACCTAGGACACAGTATGGGAACAGGCAGAGTGAGAGAAAAATACAGAAGAGAATTCAGTTAAAAATGCCACAAAACATTGAAGTTACTGGTCTGAAAGAAACTGGTGGAACCCTTAGGACAGCGGCTCTGCTACACTCTTCAGACCTAATAAATGCACCTTTTCCTGGAGACCACCTTACAGGCAAACAACAGACAGGTTTATAAAGTGAACAATAACACCCTTGGAAAATTTATTTATCAGAACATTCAGCTATGTGAGACCAACGGACAGCATCTGTGCAAAAGTCAAGTTCATAACGCAGGAAGGGGCAGGAAAGCTGGGAGAATGGAAAAAAGGGGAACCTATGTAGAAGTGGGGAGAATGCTGGCACATTGAGGGGACTACCACCAAAGTCATGGAATGATTTATATAAAATTTGTTGAATGGGAAACAAACGAGCTGTATGAACTTTCACATAAGCCACAACAAAATGTTTTTAAAAGAGAGAGAATTGCTAAAGGAACAACTTCGGTCTGAACTAAAAGAACTCTAGATAGTAAATAAATCCACAAAGAAATGATGAGCACTGGTAAAACTAACTGCTTAGCTGTGTAATAAACATAAGATACATCAGTGCTGCAAAGTAAGTGACAATGTCTATGTATCTTTGTTTATAACTCTTTTCTTCTGTCTCCTTTCTTAAAACAACTGCATACAGCTTAATTATACATCTGTGTCAATGGGTATACAATGTATAAAGCTGTAATTGGTGACAATAATAGCACAAAGGAGAGCAGAGGGAAAGGAGCAATTAGGAGCAAAATTTTTGCATACCATTGAAATGAAACTGTTATTTATAGAAAACACTCAGCACAGTCAAACCCCAAAAAATTAGTGGTTGCCTGAGATAAGGATGGGAATGAGTACTTACTGAAATTGGGCAAGAGGGCTCTTCTTTGGGGTGGTAGAAATGCTAAAATATTAGATTCTTAGGGTTAGCTCTGTAAGTTTACTAAAAATCATTATACACTCCGAAGGAATGGATACTATTATATGAAAATTACATCTGAAGCTGTGGAAAATGTCTATCTCAGTTACAGAAATACCCTATATGTTATTAATAATTACCATTTGCAGGATGCCTAGTACATCTAGGCACTGTGTCACATATACATATTGTTGTTGTATACTGTTGAGCCAGAAATGACTCATGGCTGACCCGTCAGTGGGTTTTTAGAGGCTGGAGTTTGCAGGAGATGCCCAACTTTCTTCCAGGGAGCACCTGGTGGATTCAAACTGCCTGCTTTTGTCTTGGTAGTGAAACTCTTTATCACTAGGTTTCTTCATGTATGTTGTTGTTGTTATGTGCTGCCAAGTAGCTTGCGACTCATTGCAACCCTATGTACAACAGCCCTAAACACTACTCTATCTCTTGCCAACCTTATTGTCTCTAACACACCTGTCCTCATTATCCCAGGACCCTCATCTAGGGTCTTCCTCTCCTTTGCTATTCCTCCATCCTCCCAAACATGATGTTCCTCTCCAAGGACTGATCCCACCTTGCAACATGTCCAAAGTCTGTCAGACGAAGCTTCAGAATCCTTACCTCCAAGGAGTAGCCAGGCTTCACCCTCTCCAGGACGAACTTGTTTGTTCTCCTACCAGTCCATGTATTATAAAATTTAATTTACTTCATTCAGTCTTCATTGTAACTCTTAAGAGATTACACATTGTTGTGCCCATGCAAGAGATATGGAAATTGAATTAAAAAATACAATGGAATATTTAGGTTGGTGATAAAATGTAAAGATTGAATCTGACTAGGTTTGAATCCCAGGATGTCACCCACTGACCCTGTAACTTTGACAAGCTTATTAACTTCTCTGTGTCTACATTTTCATTTGTAAAATGGGAATGATAACTATTTTATCTATATCATATGGTTATTGTGGGATCTCAGTGAGGAAACATGTAAATTCTGTAACACAATGCTTGGTATGTAAGAAGAGCCAGTAATTGTTAAAAAAAAACCACGAAAAAAATCCAGCTCTCCCACTCAAAGCGATTGAGTCAGAACCAGCTCATAGCTGACCCTCCAGTGGGTTTTCAGAGGCTGTAAATTGCTTGAGAGTAGATTGCGTATCTTTGTCCCGAGGAAGAGCTGGTAGATTTGAACTGTATGCCTTTGGGTTCACAGCACAACTCCTTACCATTAGGCCACCAAAGCTCCCTTCAGTAATTGTTAGCTAGTCATACTATTTCACCACTACAGTGAATGTCATTATTCATGTTATGAAATAGTTTAATAAGGTAACAAAGCTAGGAACCCAGGATGTGTGTTTAACACTCTCTTCTTAACACTCTAAGCAACTAGTCACAGAAACCCTATGATCGTTCAGCATATGATTAAAATTGCCATCTCACTGATAATGAAAGGTCCCAGAAGCAAGAAATAGAGACACTGGAATAAGGACAGCCATTGCCAGAAGGTTCTGCCAGCTGATTGCACAGTTTCCTCAAAGCTACTCCAGATTCGTAATCTCTGAACAGGAGCTATGTCTTCACTTCTCTGTGGAACTTCCTTCATTGGAACAGTCAACACCAATATTGGAAAGACTTTCTAAAATCACTCTTACTGTACTAATATGAATGTGTGTGAAAGATGAGATTTTATTTTCTGTATAGTCATTATTTATATATTCATTATTTACATATAGTATCTGTATATGATGATAGTTATAGAACAGGGTTCAGGTCTTCTGTTCATAGGGTCACTCTGAGTCGTGCTGGACTCGACGGAACGTAACAACAGCAACAATATCTGTCTATGGTTATTTGTACAGTTTGTGAATGATCTAGTGCCTTCCCTATCATTTTCTTGCTTATGTCTTTTTCTCTCATCTTATTTTACACCAACGAAAGTACATTTTCAACTACTTAGTACATTGGTGAAATTATTTCATTTTATTGCCCTGTGTTTTTTATCCTCTTTATTTACTTTGTGACTTCTCCTGGGATCCTCTTTACTGGAGAATAATCTGACACAGCTAACTTCAGATGTCAATGTGTCCTTACCTTCATATAGGTATACCATCTAATACAATGTCTAAAAAGAGTAGTGTTTCTATCTTAGAGCTTTCCCATTTATTTGTTATCTTTCATTCACTCATTTATTTATCTGTTGAGCTTCTACTGTACATGACATGCTATGATCACACTGATGATGCAAATGAGATCAAGATTAATAAACTGTCCTGAAAAAATTCATAATCTGAGGAAATAGACCAAACTAATAGTTCATTTTCAAAGCTGTGCTGCTAACCCAAAGGCTTGTAGTTCAAATCCACCAGCTGCTCTGCAGGAGGAAGATGGGCATTCTCTTCCTATGTGATTTACAGCCTCTGAAAACCCACTGGAGGGTCAGCTAGGAGTAGGTTCAGATTTGACCGCACACAGTCACTACACGGTTTGGCTGTCCTCCTAGATCTGGTGTGGGCATCTGCCCTTCTGAAGCCCTGCCGGTGAGCTCACCTGAGGGAGCCCTTTCCCTGTCTTTGCCCGTGCAGGGGAACTTCAGACATGCAGGCAGCAGCGCACCCGTGTCTCGGGAAGAGCTGATGATGGTGCTGTCTAGACTGGAAGGCGTGCGGATCCGAGGCCTCTATTTCACCGAGACCCAGCGGCTCACCCTGGGCGAGGTGGGGCTGGAGCAGGCCTCCGACTCAGGAAGTGGAAGCGTAGCACATCATGTAGAGATGTGTGCCTGCCCCCCTGACTATGCTGGTGACTCATGCCAGGTAAGAAATTTCCCTCTCTTGTAAAATTCCCCACGGGGACTTCTGGGGCTGGCTCTTCTGGCTGCTGTCCAGCATCGTAGGGCAATTTGGACAATTCTGTCCATTATACAAGTTTCTGCTGGGCAATGGCTCATATTTTACTCTGAGTTATGGTGACCTAGTAAATAGAGTTGCACTTCTAACCCAAAGGTGGGAAGTTCAAACTCTCCATCTTCTCTATAGGAGAAAGATGGGCAATCTCCTCTCGTGATTTACAGTCTCTGAAAACCCACCAGAGGGTCAGCATGGAGTCAGATCCAGCTCCACAGCAATGAGTTTTGAGACCTTCAGGTACTAAATATGCAACAGAAATGACAAATGTCCTGGAATGCATGGGGAAGCATTTAGATCTGAGGTGCTTGTTTATTTCTAGGTGTGGTAGGGAGGTGTCTGCCACTTGGATTCTCATATTCAAGTGCTGCTTTACCAATGGCAAACCCAAGATTTCATGCCTTTTCCTAGCTGAGACCTCAAAAATAGGAGATGAGTTCTGAAGAATGGCTTGAATTCTTGAAAACTCATCCCAATATTCTTTCTGGTAAAAGATCCTAGTTGCTGGAGGCCTCTTTGATTAGAATGTGATTGCCAATGGAAGGATTTCTTTCATAGCTCACACTTCTTTTTTTCTTGTTGTGTAACATTGAATAAGATCCGACTGGCACAGGAGGAGCTTGCCTTCCCTTCTCCAGTGGAGCATGTAGTGGACTCGAACCATGCACCTTTGGAATTGCAGTCCAGCTTCTTGCGATTAGGTCACCAGAACTCCCTTATATCTGACACTTCAAATATGTTCGTTTCCTAAACAGATAGAACAGGCACAACAGAACAATTATTAGGAAGCAGCACACATTGTCACTCTCTGCACCCCATCCACCAGTATCTACAGGCTTACAAACCCTGCCCTTTCTTGATGCCTCAGTAGCAGGTAACCCCAGCATGGCCTGTACCAAAGAGTTTTGTGGGCTTTCAATCTGAAGATCTCGTAGCTATCATGCCTTTTGGGGGGGGCTCCTGTTTTACAACAGTTAGTCCACAGATTGCCTGTGTTTTTCCTCCTTCCTCTCTCTTGCTGATTAGAATCCAGAGCCCAAAGAGTTTCCCTCCCACCCGGTGGTTGTTCGATGTCATTGAATTGCTTCTGACTCATTGTGACTCTGTATACCCTGCTCGTTGTGGGAGCCACAGCGTCGACCCAACTCCATGAAGGTCTTTCCCTTTGTTACTGGCTCTCTATTTTACCAGGCACGGTGTCCTTCTCCAGAACCTGGTCCCTCCTGGTAGATAACATGGCCAACGTGCATAAGGAGTCTCATCATTCTCCTGTCTGAGGAGCATTCAAGCTGTACTGGCCCAAGGCTGATTTGTTTGTTCTTTCAGCCACCTGTGTGTGGTATAGTCAGTGTTCTTCACCAGCTCTTCAAAGGCACCTATTCTTTTAGTCTATCTTCCTCTTTTCCTGTCTTCCTTGTTCATTGTCCAGTCATCACATACATAAAGAGGGAATTGAAGATTCCCTGGCTGGGGCCGTGTGCACCTCACTCCTCCAAGTGAACTCTTTGCCTTTTTAAACTTTAAAGAGGTCTTTTGCCGCAGATCTGCCTTCCCTCCCACCCCAGGGTATGTTATTGGGGGTGACTCAGCTGGTGATTTACTCCTGCTAATCGTCTAGTGCGGTCTGCGGTGTTAGGTGGGTAGAAGGTGAGGGCAGCCCCACCTCTCGGGAATTACAGAGCGGTGCGCTTACTTCCGGGACTGTTAAGTGTGCTTTGCATGGTCTGACTCATGCGTGAAGTTTAAAGGTGGGGCCCCTGCTGCAGACAGCCTTCCCTACCTGAGTCAGGCAGGCCCGGGCACTGAGCAGGAAGGGCGGGTATAAGAAGCAGGGCAGAGGTTCCCCTGCAGCCAGCGAGGAGCCCAGGGACCAGGATGCTCCCCAGAGTGAGATGGTCAGCCTGGATTACGGGCTGGCTGTGGCTCTTCGGGGCAGCCCTGGGACAATGTCTGGGATACAATACACAACAGCAGAGGGTAGCATTTCTTCAGCCTCCAGGTCAAAACCACCTTCAAGCAAGCTATGTGGAGTTCAGACCCAGCCAGGTAACAGCGCTTCTTACGTTTTTGGCTTGCGATGGGGAAGGGTTCTTGACTCTGTGACATTTTAAGTGAGGGTGATTAATGAATAAGTGGGTGGCTTGGGGGAGGGGGAATGGCTGCCAGCCCTGTTTCTTGACTGGCAGCATTTATTACGGTGGCTGACAGATGGCTCTCCCCGTTGTTAACCACAAACCCCATAAACATCAGCCCACCTAGGAAGGCTCCGTAGTAAAGAGTTGGGATACTGGGGCATGTTGCTATACTGTGAAGCTCAGTGCCCCGGGCTCAGGACAAAGGTGTACAATCCCTGTAGATTCCAAGCCCAGCTTCCCAAAAAACGTCATCCATAAAATAAAGCCTAAGAATCAGTGACATTTCTCTCAAGAAAAGTGATCAGATAAGGTTTATATGCTTTCATTTGCTAGAAATTTTACTCTCATTCTGTAAGTTTCCTGGCCCTCGAGTGCACCTTTACAGAGCTACAATCTATGGCTGTTAAGATCACTGCACATTTATCCTTTCAACTCAATATAAAAATCTCTATACTGAAATCATATCATAGGTAGGACACCTTTGTTTTAACTTAGAGGTTCAGTCTTCAGTACATTCTGTATTCAGAAACTTATTTTTTTTTAAATTGGGGGGCAGGGGCAGGCTTTACATAGGGGCCAAACTGATTATACTTCAATGACAGTCAAATGCCCTGAGAGTCCTATGACTGCTGTTTTCTGTTTCCAACCAAAAGCAGATTAAAAAGAATGATTTTTCTCTTTAATCAAGTTATCCTGCCCTCAAAACATGTACAGTTATGACTTTTATTCAGACATGTTGTCATAAGCCAGACATCTTTGCTTATTTGGATAATTTGCACTCTGCCAAATATGATTAGTTTACAAGTGTGTAATATGGTCTCTGGTGCTAATGATAAGCTGCCTGGCACTGATGAATGGAGATTGTTTGTGTGCCGACACAATCCACCATCATTAGCTCAATTGCCTTTCCATCTATCAGTCATGCTTACAGTTAAAGAACATTCCTTTCATATTTTTATTCTCCTTTAGACAAGCCTATTCATATAACACATAAAGTAATTGAAATTTTTTTTTGCAATTTTTACCCCCTAGCTAAACATGGTTCCCATTACCTTACATTATATTATGTACATTATATTGTACATTATATTGGAAATTACCATGTTGTTACAGTTTGTGCTTTGTTGTCATTGGTAACATTGAAAGAGTCTCCCAGCAAACTGCTAGGCTCACTCTACATGGTCCCTGTCGCTTCTACTTCCAGCCCTTCCCCGACTCCCCACCCTGGTTAGCCTCCTTCTCTCCCATTTAACTAGCTTGAGACCCTGTGGTCCTACATAAATGAGAAAGTGTGATTCATTTTGAGCTTTCTTTTAAGTGGAGTTTCACAGCCTAGAGGCTTGAGTACCCATTGAAAGGAATTAGATAAAATTTTATTTTATCTTAAATTCTTTTTTCCCCCTGATATAAGAATCATAGAAGAAAGAAGTAAAAAAACCCCAAAAATAACTAGTCACAAATCTCTTTTTAATCTGTGTGCTGATTAAACAATCCAATTGCTGTAGAGTTGGCTGTGACTCATGTCAATCAACCCCTTTTAAAGACCCCCACAAACTCATTGTAGAAAGCTCTGGTGGCCCGGTGGTAAGGAATTGTGCTGCCAACTCAGAAGATCTTGATTTATATCCACCAGCTGCTTCATGGGAGAAAGAAGGTCAGTCTTCTCCCATGTAAGACTCAACGGTACACAACAACACATTGCTGCATAGTTGGAACCAACTCATAGTGGACTCTCCAGTGGGTTTTTAGGAGGCTATAAACTCTGGTGGCCTAGTTGCAAGGAGCTACACTGTAATCCCTAAGGCATGAGGTTCGAGGCCACCAGCTGATCTTTTGGAGAAAGATGGGCAATCTTCTCCTGTGCAATTAACTGCCTCTGAAAACCTGCCGGAGGGTCAGCTGTGGGTCCTGACTCTATGGTGCACAACAACGGCAAACTCCAGTAGGAGATGGCCCATCTTTCTCCTTCAGAGGCACTGGTGGTTTTGAACAGCTGGAGAGGCGCCACCTTTGGGTTAACTGTGCAGCTCTCTAAGGACTACATCACCACCACTATGTCAGCCTTTGTTGTTGTTGATTGCCTTCGAGTCAAGCATGACTCATAGCGACCCTATGAACAAAAGGCCTGAAGCCCCTCTACGACTATCAACATTTATCAAAGTTCATAGAGTTTCTCGAGGCATATTATTTAGGAAATGGATGTCACTCCTGTTAATTCTATTAAATAAAGGAAATGTCCTTTTCTTAGGGATGGAAATATAATAACATTTTCATAATGCCCGTAATAGGCATAACTGCTTTATTTTTATTGGAGGCATTTTAAACTAGAATCTTTTTTTCTATCAATTCACCAAAAATTTTTTTAAACAACATTCTCCATCAATCTGAAGCATAATGGTTTGTATTAAACAGGTAACATATGTTGTTGTATGTATGCTGTCTCATCAAAACTGACACAGAGGCTGTAAATCACATGGAAGGAGCTTGCCCATCCTTCTCCCACAGACAGGCTGTTGGATTCAAACCATGTAACAGGTAGAAATAATCAAAACAATGTTGAATAAGAAATTAAGACCAAACCCAAAGAGCTTTGTCCCCAAGCTGGGTCTGTGAGTGTTGATGCGTGAGGACCACGTTTGAGAAGAGTTTTCTGTGAGAACTCAAGCCTGGCTTTGGTCCCTGCTGGGATTAGAGTAAGACAGCGAAGTAATTCTGCCCATTGCTTTTGCCATTATTGTGTGGCTCCATTAAGACACCTAATCTCCAAATCACATTCGAAGAAGGAGTGGTTTCCCTTTGAGAACTTGAACTTAGGACACTGAGTTCCTGGTCCTATTCACTCTTTCACCACCCTAGCCTCCACTCCCCCTCAAGAGAGCTGGTGTGAGGAGGGGAACCCCACTTCTGTGCTCAATAACCCACCCTCCACTTCCCCCTACACATCTCACGCTCTGGCACAAACCCACCATCCCACAGTCGTACGGAGACTAACAGAGCCTGACACAACCCAAATGGGTCTGGCTCGAATATGAAAAGAGAAGTGGACCCACTGAATGGAAGAAAGTAAGTAAAACTCAAATGCTTCGTGTATTTGTCACATAAGTGGGATAAAAATTATTTTCTTCCTATTGATGAAATGCTTTGTTTGATAAACAGGGTTGCAGCCCTGGATACTATCGGGATAACAAAGGCCTGCACGCAGGACGCTGTGTTCCCTGCAGTTGCAACGGGCACTCTAATCGATGCCAGGATGGCTCAGGAATCTGCATTGTGAGTAAATCGATGCTGCTGAGATGGTACTTGAAGGTAGTTGGTTACTCTCCATCCCCGCTATAACTGGCCTTGAGACAACAGTTCTGTCAACTCCTAAATGGAGGTTGCTGTGTAATGTAGTGGGTTCTCTGGTTGGTGAAAGTGGTTAATACACTTGACTGCTATCAGAAAAGTTGAAGGTTTGATTCTGAGGTGTTGTAGAAGAATGACTTCACAATTTTTAAAAAAACCAACAAAACCAAAAACCAAACCTTAACCATTGGCAATGCTATGGCAGAGCCGCTTCTATTCTGACTGTTCTTCTATTCTGAGCCCGCTTCTTCTGAGATCGCCATGAGGCAGTGGACAGCATGGGCATGTTGTTGTTTGGAGGTAAATGTACAAAGTTGAGTGTCATGAGACTATTATTTTACACTCTTTTTCCTCCTTTCACCAGAAGAAAACAGTGATATTGTACTTTAGGCTCTAAGTCTCTTTTTTCATGAAGTGATATTAATGGTCAGATCCTCCAAATTAAAAAATGCCAATATGTTATAAGTCAGATTACCTTGCATCTCAATTTTGGTGAAGTGGTGGAAGTTTTTGAGGGGTGGGGCTTTTTGCTGGGAGAAGGGTCCTGGAGGTATTAAGGATGATTTATGGACCCTTCTCAGTCAAATGTGAACTCTCCTGTCCAACCAAGACAAAAGTGGGTTTATATGGAGTGAGGGGAGTTGAAGAAGGGAGCACCCCTCTCCAATTCCTTCTTCACCATCCCGTCATACTCTGTGTCCCCTGTATTAAAAGTCTTTTTTCTAGAAGAACGAACTGGGGAGGAGGGTAGAGAAAATAGTGCAACAATAAATGAATGAAAACCCAAAATCTCTGTAAATGTTCCTTAAAATTTAATAATAAAAAAATGTGGCAAAGGAAAAAAATTAAAAAAGAAAAAGTCTTTTTTCTTTCATGGTAATTCTGACATTTATGACTTCCCAAGCAATGTTTTCTTTGGAATACTCTAGAAAATTCTACCACATAAAATCAAGTTCCTAGGAAATGTTTCTTTTGCATATGGAAGCAGAACCTTTTTTATATTCTGCTTGCTTCTTTCCAGGGTTCTCCTTGTAGCCACAACCTAAGAACAAACTCACCTCCTTCAAGGGCATTATGGCTCATGGAAAGGCTCCATTGAATTTCTCAGACATAAATCTTTATAGGAATAGACTGCCTCATCTTTCTCCCTCAGAGCAGCTAGTGGATTTGAACCTCTGACCTTTCAGTTATCCCAACCCCCCTCCCTCCAAAATCACATGGTGCTAGCAGGACTAGTGAATGTTCCTTGGTTAGAATGAGAATGTTTAGCTCCAGGGAAGGTAAGAGTGTCTGACCTCCAGGCACAGAGAACCCTGGTTGTGTTGTCTTTTGAAACTCATTCTTCTGGCATTGATTTCTTTTGCATTGTGTAATTCAACTCGAGTGTATTTCAGCTCTTTGAGCTCCTAGACTGTGTTGAGCCAATTCAGCATGTCCCAGGGGGGTGTTTCCCTGCAAGATAGAACAGGCTGGAACAAGGCATTGTTGAAAACAACCTGATCGACTCTTTTGGGTAGGATTTTCTCCTTATATGTTCAAAAGAGAACTAAAAAAACATTGGGAAGTACTGTTTTTCAGTTCATAAGTATTCCTGTGTAAAAGTTCATCTTTGACGTTGTATGGTGCCTGTAATTCAGGGAGATAGCTTGATTAACAAAATTAAATATTTGCTTTGTTGCTAAGCCATTTCTAGATGCTGAGTTCATTCTATTAAAACTGATACATGCAAAAGGGAGTTTCCATTGGGGTCCATTCACCCCATGAAGGAGTCACTAGTAAGAATCATAATATGCAGGTTTTGATGAAACAAGGAGATTTTTATTTCCATTTTCCTATTTATTTTGTTCTGTCCTCACTTGTCCCCCATGCCCATCTGGCTTCCAGAAAGGACCCATTTCAGGAAACCCTTATTGAGCGTTTGCTATGGTGGCAGCTACCATACTAAGTGTGGTTGTTAGAGCTGAAAAACGTAAATAAGCTCTACTCTCCAGACTGGCAGCCTAGTAGGGAGTGAATGTGAATTACTAACATGTAGTCACACACACACACACACACACACACACACACACACACACACACATTCTCAAGAGCTTGTAAGTTCACATGTCTGGCCTCAGAGTGGTGGAACTGTCCCCAGACGTAGTCCCTGTTGAGGGACCCAAATATAAATCTCCATGCCATTTTAAGGCTGATCTTTTGAAATGTTAGAAGAAAGGTGGTTGTTGTTGTTGTTATGTTGTTAAGTGCTGTTGAGTCATCAACTCATAGTGACCCTATGAACAAAAGACACTTGTATAACTTTCATCATTTCTCTAAGTTCATAGAGTTTCCAGAGGCAAGCTATTATGGAAGTGGATGCCATTCCTGCTTCTAAGCTTGTTTTAATCAGGGAGCTCCACCAAACACTGTCCTCCATGGGTAACCATTATCACATTTGACACATCAGTGTCACAGTGTTTAGCATCACAGCAGCCACAAGTTACCTCTGTACAGCAAATGGATAGACAAGTGCTATACCACTTAAGAAGAATATTTGACCAAAACCAAAATCAGGCCTGAGGGCTATAGATTAAAATCACAAGAAGAAAGGTAGTCCACCTCAACTGCTTGTGAGAAAATCTGTGCACATTTGTTTGAGAGGAAGCATATCAGGTAGTGGATTCGAGGCACTACTGGCTGGAGGGCCAGGTGAGACCCCCAGGATGTCCCTGTCAGCTGATAACCCTGCCTTTCCCTCCTCTCCTGGCCCTGCTTTTTCCCCTCCCCTGCCCTCTTTGCCTTCTGCTGTCTGTCACGCATCCTTTCATTCCATACTCTTCTCTGTTCATATGTCCCTTCCTCTTTCTCTTCTCACCCTCTTTCTTGCCTTTCCTTCTTTTTATTCTCTATCGCTTGAGCCCATCACCTCCATAATTCCAGGGGAACAAGGGTTCATCTATTTCAGATCCTCCTATGACCTCAGAGGCTTCCAGAGAGAGGCTATATTTTTAGCAGTCCCCAGAACCCTTTTACCTATGTTGCCGGCCTCCCTGACTCCACCCTCTGAGAACATAAAACACTCCAGGATCCCTGGACAGGGGGTTAACCTGTCTCCAGTCTCTGAGGTTCTGCATACTTTATTCCTTGTACCAGAAATTCCTTTCCCTCACTTCTTAACACCGAGGGTTATGTGTTAGGCTGCTGACTGGAGGGTTGACTTTTCAAATTCACCTGCTCCTTCATAGACGAATGATTTGGGGAATTCTCAGGGGACTATATAGATGCCGTCAAGTTGTGTGCTAGAGAAGTGTCTTGAACATACCATGGATTGCCAAGAAAACAAGTCTGTCTTTCTCAGAGAGGGTGAAATCAAGCCTTGGAGGCTTGTATTTTGAAGCTCTGTCTCACTTACTTTGGGCATGTGGCCAGAAGAGACTGGTCCTTGGAGAAGGACATTATGCTCAGAAGGGTGGACAGACAGCACAGGAGAGGGAGACCCCAGATAAGATGGATTGATACAGTATCTGGGGCAATGGGGGTTGGTGTGTTGGAATTAGTGAGACTGGCTCAGGACAGGGAAGAGTTCAGAGCTGCTGTACATAGGGTCACTGCACGTCACAGGCGACTCAACAGCATATAACAACAAAACGTGCTATATTGGTTGTTTTTTTATTTAAGCATATTGTTTAGAGTCAACCAGAACTTGGGGAGGGCCTTTGTATTTAAAACTTGGTTGTTATTAATTTTGGAGGAACATTCTTCTAAGTGATACAGTACTCTTCTGTCAGTATACTGTACTGAGATAATCTGGGGTTGTTGTGATGCTAAACCTTATGCCACTGGGGTGTCAAATGCCATAATGGTTACCCATGGTGGACAGTGTTTGGTGGAGCTACCAGTTTAAGACAGGTTTGGAAGCAGGAGTGGCACCCACTTCCTAAACAACATGCCTCTGGAAACTCTATGAACTCTGATAAATGACAATAGTTCTAGAAAAGCCTTTTGTTCATAGGGTTGCTATGAGTAATGATTGACTCAATGGCACACAACAACAACATATCAAACCACACAAACCCCTTTCCACAATCCTTCCCCCTAACCCTGCAAGGATTGAAACACTCTTAGACCCATGGAAAGCAATGTTGGGGTGATTTCAATAGAGCTCAGTTGACCTCTCCATGATGTTTATTTCTCCTTGTTATGTTTCCAGAGGTGTTAGTCTTAGAACCAAGTAGGCATTGGTCTGAAATCTATGTACTTGGAATGCTCTTCTTTAACATTATCTTTGGGAGTTAAAAGGAAAGAACACAGGAGTGGAAATGTAGTGAGTAGTTCAGAAGGACCATCTGTTCCTGAGCAGAGTGAGCCAGGAGGGGTCTTGTACCCCCAAACCAAACCCTTTGTGAAGGTCCCTCTTGCTGGGTAGATTTGCCCCAACTTCCAGAACCTAAAGGAAGAGCTCCCACAAGTGATGATAGTCTGGGACGGGGGGGTGGCAGGGCATGAACTTCCGGTGCAGGTCAGAATGTAGCACGTGAGCACCCGGCCTGCTTCTTTGAAATGCTTACTAATCCTCTCTACTTGCAGCATAGTTAGTTGCATGTCTGGAGGAAATATGAATCCCTACTTAAGATCTTAGTAGATTGTGTACTCCTGAGTTTCCCAAAGGTTCAGGGAGGATTATTACTTTGTTTTCATCTAAACCAGTGGACCCATCCATGATTGAAGGGCTGTCTTCTCATTTGTGTTCTCTTGTGATACACATGCATTTTAGTTTTCCCAACCTGGCTTTATGTTTTATTGAAAATCCACACACCTTAACGTTTCCTACTTTGAAGGATCACCTCTTCAAATAGCAGTAAAATACGTAAGTACATTTAGAACATAATACTGACTTCAGGCCACATGACTAATATAAGGAGTTTCTGAGTGCTGCATACTGTTACCCCTCTCAGCTGCTCATGAAAAGCTTAGAAGTGTGGGTTCAGAAGTACCTCAGAATAAAAGCCTGGCTGTCTCATCTGTAAAACCCTGCAGAGAGCACAGTTCTGTTCTGACAACACGTGGGACCACCATGAGTTAAAACAACTGGTCATTGCCAGTTAACAACAGAGTTTCTCTTCATAATCAACTGTCCACAGCAAGAGGAGGCTCCCCAGCTATTTCTGCACGTTTAAATCTTTATTATTAAAGTGGGAAGAAGGTTATACTTGACTTGAAAAAATACACAAAATAAAAAAATCCATACAAACTTCCAAGTTCAAAAGAGTTGTATTATCTCAATGTTTTGCTCTAAATAATAACATTCCCTGGATATTGACCTTAACAAGAAAATAATTGCATTTATAGCAACAAAAATCTTAGATGAAATGAACACCTTGGGATATTGGCATTAAGTTTAGAAGTTTTTACAGTTACTATGCAAGTTTTTATTATTCCAACAAATTGCACGTCTAAAAACCATGTTTCCATTTCATAGGTCTTCAAAATGGCATTGTTAAGTGAACTAAAGTCGAATAAAATTAATTTTCATAGACACACTCCTACAAGGAAAGGAATCAACAATTGCTGAAGGCCTATTACACTTTACTTTTTTGCTTTTTTACTTTCTTCCCAAAAAATCTTGGGAAGTGGACATTTTTATATTTGTATACTTAAAAAAAATCAAGATTGTATTGATGTGTATACAACAATAAAATTAGTATAGAAACTCAGATAAGACAAAGAGGTAAAGGAACTTGCTCAAGATCCCACAACTGCTAAGTGCTGGAGCAGGGCTAACATCCAGCTGGTCTCACCCCACTACACCTTTCACTGAGTCTCTGATTGAAGGACACTCATAGTTTTGGGTTTTTTCCTGTACTACAAGCAATGTTTAAATGTTTGTTGTTGTTATGTGCCATCGAGTCACTTGTGACTTATTGTTGTTGATTGTCATAGAGTTGAGCATGACTCATGGTGACCCTATGAACAAAAGACCTGAACCCTGTTCTATAACTATCATCATTTCACTAAGTTCATAGAGTTTCCAGAGGCATGTTGTTTAGGAAGTGGCTGCCACTCCTGCTTAGCAACCCTATTTATAACAGTTCAGAACTTTTTTCTATCTCGAGCCAGTTTCATTGTCTCTGATAGACCTACTTCCATTGGCTCAGTCACTGAGTCAACCCATCTCATCGAGGATCTTCCTCTCTTGCGCTGTCCCTCGACCCTTCCAAGCATGATGTCCCTCTCCAAGTACTCACCCCTCCTGGCAACATGCCAGCTGGAGCTTCAGAATCCTTGCCTCCAAGGAGTAGCCTGGTTTACCCCCTCCAGGACAAGAAAAAAAAAATAATGTATGTATTTAATGAGGCTAATAATGTGCAGTCAAAGAACTCAAGCTATTATTGTGGGAATGAATATCTGAGGTTACAATGAACTAAAAAATATAGTAAAAGTAAAGGTTGTTATTAATTGTGCTCTTCATTCTATCCCAAGAACTGTCAGCACAACACGGCGGGGGACCACTGTGAACGCTGCAGCGAGGGCTACTACAGGAGTGCCGTGCATGGACACTGCAGCGTCTGTCCTTGTCCTCACACAAACAGGTACTGACCAGCCTGGAGGCTGTCCATGGAGACTGCTGATCTGAGTAGGGTGCTGTGAGCAGTGGGGAGAATCTGCTCAGGGAGTTTTGAATGGTCTAGAATTGAATGTGTCCCATGAGTCTGTGACTAGACTAATAACTGGTGAACTGTACACTTTAAATGGGTGAATTGTATACTATGTGAATTACATCTCAGTAGGGAGCTCTGGTGCATAACCCATAAGAAGTTATACTGCTAAGCAAAGACTATACCTCTTTAATGGTTCAAAGATGGGCAATCTCCTGCAAGTTTACAGCTTCAGAAACAGTAGGTCAGCTATGAGTCAGTTCCAACTTGACATCAATGAGAGAGAGAATTTTATATATATGTATATGTGTATATACATAGATATAGATGATGATATAGATAGATCTAGATCTAGATGATATAGATATAGATACACACACACACACACACACATATACATACACACAGTTGATGTTGATTGCCTTCAAGTTGAGCATGGCTCATAGAGACCCTATGAACAAAAGGCCTGAAGCCCCTCTACAACTATCGACATTTATCAGAGGCATGTTGTTCAGGAAGCGGATGCCACTTCTGCTTCCCAAAATACAATATTAATTATAATATAATACTATATTATAATAATATAATATATTATAAATATAATATTAATGAATAAATAAAAGAATGTAAAACAAAACATCATTCCAAGGTGTGTTCTTCTGGGCTTTTCTCCCTTTTTCTGTTTAGTCAATGGTTAAACAATTTTTGAGAACCTATTATAGGACTAAGCATGATGTCTCTTTCCAGCATCTTTGCCTTCAAAGAGCACTCTGGCTGCATTTTTTCCAAGACATACCATGCTTGGAAAGATAGGTCAGTGAAAGAGAGGAAGACCCCAAACGAGATGGATTGACATAATGACTGCAGCAATGGGCACTAGTGTGTCAGAGATGATGAGGATGGCACAGGATAGGAGAGGGTTCAGGTCACTATGAGTCATACTCAACTCGATGGCACCTCGATCATAACAACAACAATTATAGGACCAGGAAATTGAAGTAAAGAAGACTGTCAAAAAATGTGTGCTCCTGAGACTTCACCATGTGTGTGAGGGTGTATGTGTGTTTGGGGAGTTACATTCAACAAACATCCACATGAATAAGTCAGAAGTATGATTTCAGATAGGAATGAAGGCTGTATGGGAACTAAAATGGAGCTGTGTGATAACGAGTGAATGGCTTCATCAGAGGAGGCAGTGAATGAGGCCTTTTTGAAATTGCTAAGCAAAGAGCTGAATGATGAGCTGGGAAAAGTCATGGCAGCGTCTTATGGGTGAGGGTCCCTGGCAAAAAGAAGACAGAAGTAAAGGCCCTCCAGGGACATGTTTATGGAAAAGAAGAGGGCAAGGACAGCTGAGTACAGTGAGTTAGGACCTAGGATGTAAGAATGATGTAGGAAATGAGCTTGGGGGGCAACAAACATTCAGAGCTCATAGGTGATCTGCTGGTCTCTTGTGGGCCATGATAGCTCATTGTACTTTGTACACAGATGGGAAGTCCATGAACAGCTCCGATCCATGGAGTGACTTAATCTAAGTTGTCATTTAGGCTCCAGTATGCAATGTCTGTGTAGATCTAATAAAACCCAGTTGTCTGAGAGAGAAGCAAATCAAAACCACAATGTGATACTGTCTCACTCCAGTAACAGTGGCAAAGTTTAACAGGACAGCAAGTAATAAAAATTGGAGAGGATGGGGTGAGATAGGAACTCTTATACACTGTTGATAGAATTGTAAAATGGTACAACCACTTTGGAAGGCAGTGTGGTGTTTCCTTAGAAAGCTGAACATAGAAATTCACATGACCCAGCTATTTCACTGCTTGGAATATACCCTGAGAGAGTAAGAACTGAGGCACAAATGGAGACCTATACATCAATGTTCCTAGCAGTGTTAGTTACCGTCACAAGAGCGTGGAAGCAGCCCAGATGCCCAACAACAATAGAATAGATTGAGAAATTATGGTACATTCACACATTGGAATACTATGCAGCACGCAGGAGCAATGATTTTTTAAGATTATTACCTAACTTGGGAGGGACTGAAGAGCATTATGTTGAGTGAACTAGCTTTCAGTCCCACAGGACAAATGTTGTATAAAACCATATTGTAGAATGAATATAAGGATCCTGTTTTGAAAAACAATGTATAAGAACTTTGTAAATAAACCAGTATTAAAAACAAACCCCAAACCACCCAGTTGCTTTCAAGCAGTATATGTGATCCTGACCCCACAAGTGTCAGCATAGAACTGTGCACCTTAGAGTTGTCAATGCTTGCTCTTTCAGAAGGCCTTTCTTTCCAGATACCTTTGGGTACTTCCAAACTGCTAAGCTTTTGGTTTTCTTAACATCCAATTTCAGTCTCCATTTGGTACCTGGTAGTATCCATTCTTATCTTTATCTGTCCTCTGTGAGAACCAGCAAAACCTAAGAAGCAACCAAGTGAAGCCAGAGCGGGTTTGAAATCAGGAGGATCCCAATTGAGCGTCAGGGTCGGGGGAGGAGGCTTAGAAGCACAGGTGGCACTAAGGCTGATTCCTATCAGTGTAGATCAGGGAAGTAGGCTGAGGCTTAAAATAACCAGAAGCCACGTGCCCCAGTGCGGCTTTTCTGGAGATAACATTGAAAATATTCCCCCTGCTTGTGAACTTGACACACTTTACGCTTGCCCAGTCCTGAGAATCTACTTGTGAAGGAGTCTATCATTGATGCTTGCCCTGACTTGTTGGAACAGAAGCTAGAGGCAAGAGGGAGCATCAGAATTTCCACTGCTGTGCTGAAGAATAACTTCTCTTTGAGTGCAAAGCATGTTGTTATCATCATGGTCATCCTGCCCAGCTTCCAAACCTTTGAAGTAACATGTATGCCCTCTGATTTGTCGAGAAAGCCTTGCTTATTTGGCCTGTTTCTTTCTCTTCCCAGCGATGTTAATACTAGTGAGGGATTTCTGCCAGTCTCTTTCAAGGTACACTTCTGTATCTTTCTCATAGACCAAGAGCCACCATTGCCATCAAGTCTTTTCTGACTCATAGAGTTGCTGTAGGGCAGAGCAGAACGGTCTATAGAGTTAGCTGTCAAGGTTTACAGAAGTAGATCGTCTCCTCTTTCTTTTGGAGAGCAGCTGGGGCGGGGGGCTATCAAACCAAAACCATTTTGGTTGGCAACAATAATTTATCCATAGTGCCACCAGAGCCCCTTATAGGCCAAGAATAATTTGTCAGATAAGAATTCTTTTACCAGATAAAAAGACTGGACATTCTTGACAACTGCTGTCAAGTCAATGCTGTTAATCACAACCCCTGAACGAAACTCTGCCTGGCAGTGTCTTCTCTTGATGTTGCAGTCACTGTGCCAGTATATTTCACTAAATGTATTTCCTTTTTTCGTGATTCAGTTTGATGTTGCAGTCACTGTGTCAGTTCGTCTCCTTGAACTTGTTTCTCTTTTTTGATGATACTCTCATTTAGCAGCATGTCTTAAATGGTTCTTCCTGAAAACATGTTCAAAGTTCCTGAGAACAAGACTCACTATCTTTCTCAGGAGGAATCTTGCCACACTCCTGAGATAGATTTGTTCATTCATCTGGTTCTCTCATTGCTGTTGAGTCAGAACCAACTTATAGCTGACCCTTGGGGGTGCAGAAGCTGTAAATCGCAAAGGAGGAGATTGCCCATCTGTATCCCACAGACTATTGGTGGATTTGAACTGCCGGAGAGAAAGCACCTTTGGGTGAGCAACTCCCTATGGGCTACACACCACCAGAACTTCTATTCAGCTGGCAATCCATGGTGTATTTCAGATTCTTCACCAATACCATCTTTCAAAGACACCACTTCTTTGGTCATCTTCATTTATTGCCCAGCTTCCATAGGCATTGAAAATATCATGGCTTGTATCAGGAACACTTTAGTCCTCAGAATGACATCTTTGGCTTTCAAAACATTAAAGAGGTCTTTTGCAACTGGTTTATCTGATGTAATGTCTGTTGATTTCTTGACTGCTGCTTCCATGAACATAGATTGGGGATCCAAGCAACAGGAAATCCCTGACGACTTCAGTCTTTTATCTGTTTATCATGATGTTGCTTATTGGTCTAGTTGTGAGGCTTTTTGTTTCCTTTATGTTGAGGTATAATCCATACAAAAGTCCTTGACTTTAACAATTAAGTGTTTCAAATTCTTTTTGCTTTCAAGCAAGCAAGGCTAAGTCGTCTGCATATCACAGGCTGTTCATGCATTCTCCTCCAAACTTGAGGCTGTGGTCTTCTTTATATAGGCCAACATCTTGGATTATTTGCTCAGCATACAGATTGAGTAAACTCAGTAAAAGGACCCAGCCCTCATACATACCTTTTCTGATTTGAGACCACACGATAGCAGCTTATTCTGTTTGAATGACTGCCTCTCAGTCTGTGTACAGATTCTGTATGGGCACGATTAAGTGTTCTGGAATTTCTTTCACAATGTTATTCATAACTTGTTATGATCCACACAGTCAAATGCCTTTGTATAATCAGTTATAGAATGGAATTATTTCCCCTCACATCTACCTGAGTGTAATGTTCAATGAGTGAGGTGGGACAGTGGTAGAATTCTTGCCTTCTACACATGAGACCCAGGCCCTGCATTCCATTCTTGCCTCAGTCATTGGAGGCTTTCATGTAGTTAAGATGCTAAGCATGTTTCAGTGGTGCTTCCAGGCTACAACAGAGTAGGCAGAAAGCCCTGGATGTTCTACTTTAGAAAACCAAACATTGAAAAGCCAGAGTCATAGAGGTCTGAGCCACAGCTGGTCACACAGATGGTGAGAACAGGCAGTGTTCAGGGCCGAGTGTAGAGTCACCGTGCATCAGAAACCAACTCGAGTGCAGCTAACAACAGCAAACGTTTGATGAACAGATGGACATTTCAGAGTTGACAGGCCTTTTTTATGACCTATTAAGAAGCTGCTTCTCCAGCGTATGTCAGTAGAGAGCTAAATCGATGAAGCTTAGCTGCTGCTTGTACCAAAGCTGATCCTCCAGTGAGTTTCCAGGACTGTAGCTCACTCGGGAGGAATTTGCCCATCTTCCTCCTGAGAAGCCACCTGTGGATTTGAACCAGAGAGGTATGACCTTTGGATTTGTTGTGTTGTTGTTGTTGTGTACCATCGAGTTGGAACCAATCCATAGCTGACTCTTTGGTGGGTTTTCAGAGGCAATTAATTGAATGGGAGGAGATTGCCCATCCTTCTTCTATGGAGCACCTTGTGGCTTCGAACCTTGTGTCTTTGGGATTGCAGTGCAGCTTCTTGCCACTAGGCCATCAGAGCTCCCTGATCTTTGGATTAGTATAAAAAATCCAACCCACCCTGGAGTGTTTCTTTTACTTTTGAACGAGAGGAGTGAACTGGGGGCGGGGGTGGGGAGGGCTGGGCAGGGAGAGAAGTGCAGCAATGAATGAATGGAAATCCAAAATCTCTGTAAATGCTAATTAAAATTATTAAAAAAAAAATCCAACCCATTGCCATTATGTCAATTCTGACTCAGTCACCCTGCAGGACAGAGTCAACCTGCCATGGTCTGGATCTTTGTGGTACAGACTGCCGCATCTTCCTCCTGTGGGTTCAAAATACCGACCTTTTGGATGGCAGTGAATGCTTTAGTCATATTGCCACTGAATTCCTCCAGTTAAAAAGGGGGATGAGAATTTCACTGCTTGGTTTGACAAAGTGTGGCCATAAGGAATGGGAGTGCCCATAAACTCCCTCGGTTAACTAGAATATCTGTTGCACCTCAGTCCTTTCTGGGGCTCAGGGGGCCCACCACCCACCCCACCCTCACCCCCCACCCCGATACCTTTTTCTCCCAGAAGGCAATGGGCTCAATACAAAAGAATCAGAATAAACAAGAAGAAAATTTGAAAAAAGGATCGGAACTCTCTGTTCTTCTTATGCCTAGACTTGTTTTATTTCTTCCTTGTTATTCCTGGAAAAATGCTGTTGTAATCATCTCTCCCAAAGTGAGTTCTTTTGCTCTGTCTTGAGGGGAGGAATGTATTCCTCCAAGCCAGAAAGAACAGAAAATAAATGCCTTTGCCCTTGACTCACCACGCTTTGCCCAGTGTCAGCTGAAACAATACATCATTATCTCTACAAATCTTGACGGGTAAATTTTTCTTCTCACAAAACATTGCCTGAAGAACCCCCGGGTTTGATTTTCGCTTAATGCAAGTCATTCTTTAGAGCAAAAATAAGGCATAAAACCTATTGATTTTTCTTTTCACTGGTGTCTTTTTCTGTCTTCTTTCAAGTTTTGCCACCGGCTGTGTCGTGAATGGAGGGAACGTGAGGTGCTCCTGCAAACCTGGATACACAGGAACACAGTGTGAAAGGTGGGTGCTGCTCCCTCCCCAGGAGGTGGTGGGGTGCTCCCTGGGCAGGCTGCTGCAGGCTCTGGTGGTGGGTGGGGCTCCCCTGGGTTGAAGCTCAGAGGTAGAGGTGAGGCTGTTTGCTTTACTGAAGGCTAGAAAAAGCTCTTCAGAAAAATCCAAGACTCTTCATTTTCTTCCTAGCTGGTTATTTTCCTCCAGCTTCAGAAATCTGAGAATTTGACAAGCATGGCATAGACCCACAGCTCCACCCAGCCCCAGAGACCTCCTATATATCCCTTCCTGCCCAACAATAGGGGGGTCCTAATCTCCCATGCAAGGGAGCTCTGGCGAGCTAGTGGAAAAGCCGCCAACTCAAAGGTAAGGGCTTTGAATCTTTGGGAGAAACCTGGATGTTCTGCTCTGGTGCAATTTATAGCCTCCAAGAAACCATGACTTCAGCTATGAATTGGTTCTGACTCAACAATAAAGCAACAACAATCTCTCATGCAAGGGGCAGTTGGGGTACGGTGGGAGAGTCCTCCCCTTCCTTACTGGAGACCTGAGTTTGATTCCTTGATCAGTAGAGGCTTGCTTGTTTCTGTGACACCAGGCAGGTTCCAATGGAGCTTCCAGAGTAAGACGGACTGATAAGAATGGCTGCCAGATGACAATTCCTCAGCTATATAGGCGCACCCCTACAAATCTCTGTAGACTCCTCACCCCAGCATTCCCCTTCCATCTTCACACCGACAGACACATCCCTCCACTCTTCTACATACTCTTCTACCCAACACATGCCTCTCTACTACCACCCATATGCCTGCTTCCTCACCCCTCATTGTACAGATCTCTACATTCTAAACTTCACATCATGCATGCTGGTGGTGGTTGTGGAGTACCATCGAACTGGAACTGACCCATAGCTGATTCTCCAGTGGGTTTTCAGAGGCCATTAATTGTATGGGAAGAGATTGCCCATCCTTCTCCCACAGAGCAGCTGGTGGATTTGAACAGTGTGGCTTTTGGATTGCAGCACAGCTAGCTTTTTGCCACCAGGCCACCAGAGCTAGTACATATAATCAAACTTACATAGATACACTTAAGTGCGAGCGCGCGCGCGCACACACACACACACACACACACACACACACACACACACTGCTATATATCCCTACACGCAGTGTCATGAATATTTTCCACCCAAGCCTCTGTCATATTCATCCCTTTTTAAATATGTTATTATGTTTTTGGTAAACATTGACACGGTAAAGAAGACTTAAAGAGCAGCATTTCCCCAAAGATAAGGCTTTGGAGGCAGGAAGGGAGAGAAGGATTAACAGATATAAGAATTACAGGGAGGAAGGGCATAAAGGGCAATTCCATTGTGGGTATTGAAAGTAGTGTTCTAAAAGAAAAAAATGTAATGAAACAAATGTGATGAGCGGAATCTGCTTTGTAAACTTTTATTCACATAATTTTAAAAGAAAAACGTTTACACAGTAAGTTGGGTTCTCGGTTGAGTTCTTGGTACAGTTTGTCCTGTACCATCAGCTGTATTTTTAATTTTCCACAGTGAGTCAGCATTCTCTTCCGCTGCATTCTGTCTGGTCTGTTTCTGGTCCTCTAGTTTCCTTGTTCCTGTATCTCCTCATCTCTGCTTTAATCTAACTGTTGGCTTTTTGGTATCACAGTTCTTGTTGTTTAATAGAGCACTATCCTGATGCTCCTTGTTTTAAGTGCTGCTCTGTTATTTCACTGAAAGGTGGTCTTAGAGGATAGTTGGATAGTTACAGTTCAAGGTTTAAAAAGTATCTCAGGTGATAGATTCCAGGAATTCTTCGGGTTCTTGATTGATCCAGCAAGACTGGCCCTCCCCCTCCCCCCAACAAATTTATTTTCCTGCTGTTTGTTGCTGTTACTGGGTGTCACTGAGGCAGCTATGACTCATAGTGACCCTGTGAGCACTATATCTGAACCTTGCCCTGCCCTGTGACATACTCACGACTCTGTCATTCTGAAGCCCATTACAGAAGTCACCGAGTCACTCCATCTCCTTGAGGATCTTCCTATCTTCCGATGACCCTCTACCTTTCTCCGCCTGATGCCTTTTCCCACCCACTGGCCCCTCTTGACAACATGCCCAAAGTATGTGAGATGAAGCTTCCCCATTCTTGTCTCCAAGGAGCCCTCCAGTTTCACCTCCACCAAGACAGATTTGTTTGTTCTCTTGACAGTCTGTGGGGTATTCGACACTCTTTGCTAACCCTATGCTGCAAAGGCATTGGTTCTTGTTTAGATTTCCTTATTCATTGTCCAACTCTCAGATGCATATGAAGCAATTGAAAGGACAGTTGCTTGCATCAGTTGCCTGTCCTCAAACTGACAGCCTTGGGTCTTCAACATTTTAAAGGGATTCTTGACAGCAGATTTTCCCACTAACGCACATTTTGACTTCTTAACTGACTGGTGCTATCTTAGAGTTTTTGGGTTTTTTAAAATTTATTTTAATGAACATTTACAGAGATTTTGGATTTACATTCATTCATTGTTGCATTTTTCTCCCAGCCACCCCTCCCCCCCCCCCAGTTTGCTCTTCTCTTTGAAAAATTCCTTCATTGGTATAGTTTGTTATTGTTGTTGTATGCCTTCAAGCCATTTCATAGATGACCGACCCTCTGGTGGGTTTTCAAAGGCAGTCAATCACACGGAAGGTGATTGCTCATCTTTTTCCTGCTGAGCAGCTGGGTGGATTCGAACTACGTGCCTTTGAGTTGGTAGTGCAACTCTTTATCACTAGGTCACTACAGCTCCCTATCTTACAGTCTTGGTGTGTACCATAGAGTTGGAGCAGACCCCTAGCTCACCCTCTAGCAGGTTTTCAGAGGCAGTTAACTGCACAGGAGGAGATTGCCCATCTTTTTTCCCCTACAGAGCAGATGGTGCAATTGAACTGTGTGCCTTTGAGATTGTAGCACAGCTTCTCTCCACTAGGCCACCAGAGCCCCCTACTGCCCTTTTACAGACTGAGGATCTAGAAATCCAAATTCAAGGTGCCAGCTCTAAGGAGAGGCTCTCTCTTTGTTGACTGGGGAGAAGAGTCCTTCTTTCCTTTAGGTCCCTAAGTCCACCTTTTCTTTGTGAACCTCCATGAACTCTGGCCTTCTCCACTGTGAAGCAGCTTCCTAGAGCAGGAAGCCTAGAGCAGGAGCCTCAGAAGTCTGGACATTTTAAAAGTCTGAGTTCTGTTTGGAATCTTCCTTCAGTTCCATCAGAGTCCATGTCTCATGGCCTGGCTCAGACGCTCAGTGGTAGCCAGGCACCTTGTTCTTGTTTCAGGGTCCTTGAGGCTGTACTTCACGCAGGCTTGTGGGCTTTTCTCTAAGACATTGGTTTCCTTTTGCTCTTTTGGTCCTGATGTTGTTGTCATACTGAACTGACACATAGCTGACCCTCCAGTAGGTTTTCACAGGAGCTTGTCCACCTATCTTCTGTAGAGCAGCTGGTTTTGAACTGCATGTCTTTGGATTGCCAATGCAGCTCCTTACCACTAGGCTACCAGAGCTCCCTATTTGCTCCAGATGAATAGACAATAATTGTATCTTAGATGGCTGCTCAAAACCTTTTAAGATCCTAGATGTGACTCACCTCCCTACAATGCAGAATATGAATGTTGTGAACTATATTTTGCCAGTTCACTGGGTTGTCCCAAGAGACAAACATTTTAAGCATTCAAATCCAGGAAACCTGTCTTTTAAAGTACTAAATCAGAGAGGTATCTGTAATTGTTTCTCTTATGAATAGGTACGTGTATATAGATACGTCTATGTGTACATGTATGTATGCAGCTACATAGTTACTTCTGTCTGTGCACACATGTACATTGTGGTGTGCCGCCGAGTCGGAACCAACTCATAGCTGACCCTCCAGCATAATTTCAGAGGAGGAGATTGATCATCCTTCTTCCGCACACATGTATGCAGCTGTATAGTTATTTCTCTCTGTGCACATGTACGTATACAGCTGTACAGTTCCTTCTCTCTATGACCATGTGTGTATACAACTGTACAGTTACTTCTCTCTGTGACCATGTGTGTATACAGCTGTACAGTTACTTCTGTCTGTGCACATGTATGTATACAGCCATAACAGTAACACACTGGGATAGCATTACAGGGCTAAGTTGGACCACAGTAGAACATCTACAAGCTCTGATGGGTGAGGAAGTGAAGGAGCAGCTGAGCTGAGACAAGGAAAATGGGTGGGGCTAGGTGGGGTTGTGAAGGTATTGCAGGCACTGATATAAAATGTGATGCATGCTTTATTGTGTTGGTGTTGTTGTGTTTGTTAGTTGCTGTTGAGTCAGCCTCTCATTTCCTTCTCCTTTTTGTGCCTCACAATGAAGTAGAGAATAGTAACAAGCATGAGGAGACACCCAGTTGGCAGTCCGCTAACTAAACACTTAGCCCAGCTTATGCTTATTACATTTAATTTCTTAAGGAAGCAAGCTATTTGCGGTGTGTGTGTGTGTGTGTGTGTGTGTGTGTGTGTGTGTGTTTTACTTGGGAAAGGGAGAACCTTTCATAGGTAAATGACATCTTGATATAAAATTTTTTCCTTGGTTACTCATTTACTGATTCTGACCTTACTCCTGGCACCTGCCTGCCAGCAACTATGCCAGTGATACACACGAGGGCGATACAGGCTGAGGACTAGGTGAAGAGCATCTTGCTACGTAGAAGAGGGATCATAGTCTGAAAGGGAGGCTGCTAGGAAGGGCCCAGTGCCCACCAAGCTCTCACTGTCTTTCTCCCTCCTCCACTCACAGCCCTAACTGACAGACGTGCTCTCTGCTCTTGATTTCTTGAACCAATGCCATCAGTGAAACCAGGACCTTTTCTCGTCATCCATTGTATTTAGTCACTACTGTAAACTGAGAACCAAGGAAGCAATTGTTTCATGATCAAGAATGAGTGTGTTGTGAAACAGGGAAGCGGTGGAATCTAGCTCCCTGAATAGTTGTGCATCTTAAACAGAAGGTGCTTTATAATTATGCATCTGTTACATGGAATGTGTAGATATAGGTGAGACAGCTAGAGAAATGTTTCAAAACATAGATCTTCTGTGTAGCATGGTTTGTTAGGCAGAATATGTAACCAGTCACATGAAGAAAAGTAAAACCCTGTAATTAGTGCCTTACCAACCTGTGTAAGAGATGTAAGTAAGCTGCCTCAGTGTAGTCCCCTCTTCTACTATGGCCTCGTGGTAAGAAACTGTGCTGCCATCACATAGGCATGCAGTTCAAATCCACCAATTGCTCCATAGGAGAAAGATGAGCAGTCTCCTCCTGTGAGATCCATGGCCTCTGAAAACCCACTGGAGGTACAGCTGTGTGTCAGATCTGACTCAATGGTACTCAACAACAACATTAGTGGATCCTTAGGTTTCTCTGTTTCTTACTGCTTTCTGAAATGCATTAATTCAAAATGATACCCACTTATGTGCATATAGTAACATGCACATAGTATTTTATCATGTTTTATAATGACCACTATCATCTTCTGTTGCCACCAAGTCATGGCAACTTCATGTGTATCCGAGTAGAACTGGGACCCGAAGAGTTTTCCGTGGTTGGTTTTCCGGAAGTCAATCACCAGGCCTTTCTTCCAAGATGCTTCTGAGAAGGCTTCACCCTCCACGTGTTAGTTAGCAGCTGAATAGACTCATCAGTCTTTAGATGGCAAATGGCAGCTACCGTTTATTGAGAGCCTGTTATATGCCAGCATTGTGCCAGATGTTTTTCTATATTACCATTTCAATTGAATTAATGCGCTAGGAAATATTTCCACTTTATGCAAAGTTAGAAATTAGGTGAATGTCACTTTCTTATTTCTTCTTGTGAAGAAATTTGTCTTAAGTAATATTTTAATCATGTGCTAACTTTAGTAGCATAAATCTCACATATAAATCCACCATCCCTGACTGCCTTATTGGTTATTGGTCAGACTCCTTGTGCTGTGTGCATTCTTTTCAGTCCAGGGAGAACTTGAAGACTCCACAGCCCTCTGGCCAAAGAAGAAAGAGAAATAATTTCTGCCTGCCTTCCATTCTCACCTCTCCCATTCAAGGAACCAATGTCTTGCATGGAAACATCCTTGTAATTCTGCCTGCATGCTGGTGCCCTAGTGGCAAGAACCTGCACTACAATTCCAAAGGCACCTGGTTCAAGGCCACCAGCCGCTCCACAGGAGAAGGATGGACAAGCTCCTCCTGTGTGATTAACTGTCTCTGAAAACCTACTGGAGGATCAGCTATGGGTCGGTTCCGACTCAAAGGTCCACAACAACATATAAAGTTATAGTACGCCAAACAGGGACTTAGGTGACATAAAACTGGATTGACTACCTGAGGAGTTCTTTGAGTGCTTCCTCTTTGTCTTTATCACGTGTAGGTGCGCACCAGGATATTTCGGGAATCCCCAGAAGTTTGGAGGTAGCTGCCAGCCATGCAGTTGTAACAGCAATGGCCAGTTGGGCAGTTGTGACCCCTTGACTGGAGGTAAGATCTACTCACATCTATTAACCTGCATGTATCAAATGAATACAAAATAGCAGGCTAGGAACCCAAGCAGAAGTTTTGGGGAAACATAAGCAATTTCTGCTAAACTAATTGTCCCTTTGTTTTGACAGTCCGGGGATTGCCCAGGGAGTATTTGCAACCTTGGTGAATAGCTTGCTTTAGTTTTCTTTTCAAAGTAAATTAGCTTTGAAACTCAACTCATTATCACCAAGATAACTTCAGACCTTACCTTTAGCTTCAGCTCTGAGATCCTGCTGCCACTGTAAGGTATCTATCAAATATGTTAGGTAAACTCCCTCATATATTATTTGTAGGCTAGATAAATAACTAAAACCTGATGTGTGAGTTCGATCTAGTCAAATGATCATTACCCAAATGATTGTAAATTAATTAACATCATCCTGAGAGAAATATCTACTGTCAGGTCTTCATCTTTAGCTCCATTTTGCTCAATGATTTTTGTTGTTCTTGTTCTTGTTAGCTATCTTTGAGCTGAATACAACTCACAGTGACCCTATGAACAATAGACCTGAATCCTGTGCTGTCGTGTGCCATCCTCATCACCTCTGACACACTTGAGTCCATTACTGAAGTCACTGTGTCGATCTATCACCTCGGGGGGCTTCCTATCTTTCGCTGACCCTCTACCTTCTCAAGCATGATTTCTCTTTTCAAAGAACAGCCTTTCCTAGCAACATGCCCAGAGTATGAGAGAGGAAGCTTTGCAACCTTTGCCTCCAAAGAGCACTCAGGCCGCACCTTCTCTAAGACATATCTGTCTGTTCTTTTGGCCATCCATGGGATGTTCAGTGCTCTTCTCCAGCACCACAACTCAAAGACGTCAAGACACACCTAGCCATTACCAGATGATGTAAAGTTGAGATGGATAGAAAATTCCTGTATGACACAGTTACAATTCAAATAGCCTATGCGGTTTAAAATTCCGAGCCAATCTAGCTAACACATTGTGTTAAAGATGAAAGTTTGTGAGGTGATTAGAGATGACCTGTGTGTGTAACACAATGAAAGCAGTGCTTGGTGCCGCCTCAACCCCGTGGCATGCCTAGGAAAATTCCAAGGAGTAGTAAAGCTTAAATCATTGTTCTTATGGAGTGACATTATTTTACAGAGGGAAATGAAAGATATTTCCATTAAAAACTGAATGACATTAAAAATATAGATGTGAGGAAGAATAAGGAATATTCCGGGATGGCCAGCAAGATTTCCAGACTGCAGCTGAAAATGTAAAAATTTCATTTCAAGGGGCAGCACTTAGCCACTTGCTTTCACTGAACACTGTGTTTGCATCTCATTAGAGTCCAACAGGGCAGCAATGATTTTTGCTTTGATATGTTAGTATCTCCTGGGCTTAGCACAAGACCATGCAACGCAGTGGATTCTCAAAAGTGCTCCGAGAATGTTTAATGTTATCGGGTAATACTAGGAGTGACTTGAATAGTTGTTTAGAAATATATAAAAAACATGGATGACTTAACACTGATTATCAAACCTGTTGCCCCTGAGTCAGTTCTGGCTATCGTAGCCCTACCGAGTGGAACTCTTCCCATTTAATGTCTGAAACTGTAATCCTTATGGAAGCTGATTATCAGCTTGTGGGTTTGAATTGCCAGCCGTCTTGGTTAGCAGCTGAGTGCTTAAGTACTGTGCCACCAGTGCTTCTACCCTGTTGTTACTGTTACATGTTGGTGAATTGGAATCAACACACAGCAGACCCTTCAGTGGGTTTTCAGAAGCAGTAAATCAGGAGCAGATTGCGCATCTTTCTCCCACAGAGCAACTGGGAGATTCAAACTGCACACCTTTGAGTTGGCAGTGCAATTCCTTACCACTAAGCCATCAGAGCCCCCTTACACACTGACAGGTGTTTTTATTTGCTAAGAATGCTATCTGGACACCACTATCAAGTATTAGAGAGAACATTTAAATGATCAGAACAATTCCTGAGATAAATGACCTTTAATAATGATGGCCTTTTCAGAGAGAAGCAGCTGAGTACATAATAGGCAGAATTATCATCAGGGGGCCCCAAAAGAAATTCCAGCAGCAAACCTGAGTTATTTCCCTAAGCAATGGCCTGGAATGGGAGAGAGAAGAGCCACCTAGCCTCTCGGAAAATGAGGCGACAAAACTAGTTGAAGGATAAATGTACTAAGAGTCTTCTTTGGATATTTTCTTATTTCAGACTGCTTACACCAGGAACCTCGAGATAGTGGCCCTGGAGAAGAATGTGATGGTGAGAAAAGAAAACACCCTCCTTCCCCCACCCCCAAACCCACAGACTGTGAGTCCCCAGCCTAGGCAAGCAGTGGGGGGAGGAGGGGGGGAGGAAGTGACTGGGTCAGGTGTGGGCCCGACAGTCTTAGAGTCAAATCTCACCTCTTAGCTTCTAGGTCCATGGCTTTGGGCAACTCCCTTAACTTCTTTGAGCCTCAATTTTTATCTTTTGCACAAAGAATCTAATAACTTATCTGCTTTATTTATTTATTGTTTAAAAATGTATTTATTTATTTATTATGAAAAATACTTGTATCTTTTGCATCTCAGTGCCTGGTAAATTGCAAGCACCAAAGAAAAGCTATTTATTATTATTTTCCCCATGTTCAAAAGAAGCCATGGTTACACAGACGCACCATTTCTTACTACAATGCTCCCTGAACAGGTTCAGCCCTTGCTAGGGATTTGGTAGCGCTGTGATTTTTGCCTCTGATCATCTTCGCACAGCATCATCTAGGCTGTACCACCCTTATGCTCTCTTTGCATTCTTGTGACTCCAGCCCCACAGCACATTTATCTCTGCTTGTGGCCCCTGCAGACTGTGACAGCTGTGTGATGACACTCCTCAAAGACCTGGCCACAATGGGAGACGAGCTCCGCCTGGTCAGCTCCCAGCTGCAGGGCATAAGTGCCAGTGCAGGGGCGCTGGAGCAGATGCAGCGCTTGGAGACCCAGACCAAGGACCTGAGGGTAAGTCCCTGTGGGCCCAGCGTGGTGCTGCTTCCCAAGCGGATGCATCAAGTGAAGACACTTCAGATGCTGCAAGAATGACTGGTTCTCAGTAGGAACTGAGAGGTTGGACTTTTGATATGCTTTTGACCCACATGCATGTTAGCTTTTTCTGGTAAAAAGTACTTACTGGCTAACTTAACATTTCTAAGTAAACATTCTTTAAGTATAGTTTCTGATTGTTTTCCTCATAGAGCTTTAAGCTCAGTGTCTTCCATACAGAAGGGTCTCAAAGACAAGTTTAGGTGGAAGTGATATTCATTTTCCTTAAATATTTGATATACTTTTTCAGTAAAACCATGTAGGCCTAGAATTTTCTTTGCTTAAACGTTTTGTCTTCATTTTGGTTTGTTTTTTAAACGAATTCCATTTTCTTTTCTTTCTTTTATTTTTTTTAAATAGACTAATAAGATTACCTTTGTGGGTTTCTCCCCTCCTCATAGAAGATATTTTATAGTTTGTGGCTTTCAAATTCTACTTCCATTTTATTTAAATTACCAAATGTATTCATATCAAATTGTTCATAGTGCCCCCTTATTACAATTTTAATATATGTGGTATCTGTAGACATGCCTTCTTGTTAAATTCCTGATATTGATAATTTTATAATATTGATTACTTGAAAAATTTCTCTCTTTTTCTCTTGATAATTCTAGCTACACTGATAACCATTTTAATGATCTAAAAAATTTTGGTCTCATTGAGTTTTCTCCACTCCTTTTCTGATTCAGTTTGCCTGAATTCAATTCTTGCCTTTATTTTTTCTCCGCCTGCTTACTTTGGTCTTAATGTTTTCTTTGTTTCCTAGTTTTTTAATATGTTGTTGTTGTTAAGTGTCATCAAGTCAAGTACGACTCACAGTGAGTCTGTGAACAGATCTGAACCCTGTCCATCCTGCACCGTCCTTATCATCTGACTTTCTTGGACCCTTTCCACTGACACTGTGTCAATCCATCTCATTGAGGGCTTCCTCTCCTTCGCTGGTGACAGCATATTTTAGTGGTTAAAAACATTTACTATTTTCTAGTATAGGCATTTAATGCTGTATGTTTGCCCCTCGGAACTAAGTTTCATGGATTTTCAAAATCTTGTTTCCATTTTTGTCAAATACAGTGCATTTTCTAATTTTTCTTGGAGTATTTCCTGGACCCATGAGTTTTTCAAGATTGTGTTGTTCAATTTTCAAAATGACGATTTCTCAAATATGTTCCTTCAATTGCTTTCTTTCTTTTTTTTTTTTACCTTCAATTGCTTTCTAATTGAATTCTATTGTGGTCTAAAACAAACCTACTAGGATTTCAGTTCTTGGAAAATGGCTTGAGGTTTGCTTTGCTTCCCAGTCTGTGGTCCACCCTGAGGAATCTCCCGTGTGCCTTAGGAAAGACGGCAGCTAGGCAGGTACCCTGAGAAGCAGCAGGGACTAAAGCACCATCAGGGTCTCCAGAATCAGACTTTCCAAGGGAAACAGAACCACCTCCACCATGGACGGAAGTGAAAAGCCACCTCAGAAATGGGCTGCAGCTCACTGGGGTAGTGACTGTAGGAAAACTCAGAAAAGCTAGAGGAAGTATTCACAGCCTGTAGCTGAGATATTCTCACTCTCACCATAATGTTTAAATCCCGAGCTACCAGTATAAGACCTGGTCGCCAACTGAGACACTCATGAAGGATCTCTGCACAGGCCTCTGGCTAAGCCTACTTTTCTAATAGACAAGTCACCGTTAGAACCATGGTGTGTGTATGTGCATATTAAGAGGGATTTTTCCCCTCTGTAGAACCATGTTGCTAAATGGATTTTCCCTCCTACTTTTATCAAGTATTTCAGAGCATTGTTAAAGCTTTTCATTCCTGCTCTAAAGTGAGATTAACTTTGTGTTGTATTTTCAGGATCAGTTGCTAATCTACCGTTCTGCCATTTCCAATCACGGATCAAAGATGGATGGCCTGGAGAAAGAACTGAGCCATCTGAATCGTGAATTTGACACTCTGCACGAGAAGGTAACATGCAAGGCCAATTACAGTTCTTTTCGATTTCAAAACATTTAGCATTTTCCCTTTGCAAACTTAATTAACTTGTTGATAATCAATTTATCTATTATACAGGCTCAAATTAATTCCAGAAAAGCACAGACGTTGTACAACAATGTTGATCAGACAATCCAAGGTGCAAAAGAACTAGACTCAAAGGTTAAAAACATCATCAGGAACGTGCACAGTAAGAAGAACGTCTTAATCTAGGAAATACTTCTTATTGCGTGGCCTTTGCTGTACACAATTCTTAAGAGTTCAATATTACAAGAAAAGTCCTGTGTTAGGACTGAGAAACTAATGTAAACTCTGCATAGAAGTCTTCATATTTATATATGTTGTTGTGTACTGTCAAGGCTGGTGCTCTAGTGGGTTTTCAGAGGCAGTTAATTGCATGGGAGGAGATTGCTCATCCTTTCTCTGCAGAACAGCTGGTGGATTTGAACTGTGCGCCTCCAGGATTGCACATAGCTTCTTGCCACTAGGCCACCAGTGCTATCTATCTATTTATAAAATATAT